CTCTCTCTCTCTCGCATCTCATCTCTGAAACACGTCTTTGAAAATCTATTTATAATTTATTTTTCATTACATTTTGTGAAAGTAAAACAAAACTTTTTTACTGATCCAAAACTCCTATTCAATCAAATGCTATGTTTTGAGCGATGATTTCGGCCAATAATTTGTTTTTTATTTTTAGCTCAATTCACAACACATTATATAATAAAACATTAAATTTAATAAAAATAATGCCACAACAAGAATATAATACAAACAGGGTTAATTGTTCTAGGCAAAAATAATTAAAATTATCACGTAATATATTAAACAATTTCTAACAAAATATTGACAACTTATTAATTTAATATCAATATTATATTTTTATTTATGAATTAAAACAATTTTAATCAAAATTAATTAATTTTTTACTGAAACTTATAATGGACCTTAACCTTAACCTTGGTTATGGTAACTTTATTAAAGTTATAGCATAAGTTAAAAGTTATAATTAAACACCAATTAAAACAAACTACTCGTATTATTAAAAACCGTTGAGTGCCTGCAATGCATACGCTATACGCACGGGATGGTCGTCTTGAGGTCGGTTTAGTGATGTCCAATCGGGTTCAGAGCCAAACAGGCGGAACAGTTTGAGGTGATTATTTGAATCCAGTGTCAACCTATGGTAACCGCCGGCCATGAATGACAACAGATCTCCCTTTTCGACCAAAACACGGATCCACTTGTCTTCAGCATCCCTCACATCGAAATAGCCGGAGCCGTCCAATACTAGCCGTACTTCGGGCTCATTGTGCATGTGTTCCGTGTAAAAGGAGGCGTGTTTTTCGACATGATTTTCTATATCAATGATATCCCAATAGTTGTATCCCTTTTGAACCGATAATTTTTGTAAATTTTCCACAGTTTTGTATTTATTCACATTAATCTGTAATTTAATTTTGACATTTTTAATTTTAATTAACATTTTAATCATATAAAGTAATTGTGTATTTAAATTGCTAACAATTATATTAATAATATTAATTTGTAACAAAACATAAAGACAATACCCATTCAGTTTGAACACCAATTTTGCGCTTCAACTCATCTAAAGTGACATATTGTGGAGGATTGAGATGTCTTTCACTCCGTTTTACCATCTCAACGTTGACCACACTTTCGTCATTTATATACCAGGCCTTCACCATATTGTGTATAAAAGTATCTAGTTACTTTTTATTGTTACAAAATTATTTAAATTATTTATTTTCTAAATTCAAGTCAAATATACATATATATTATAATGGGGTAACTTATAAACGCGTGATTAAAACCAAGTTTAACCACAATTTAATTACAATTACTCGCGAGATAAACACAATTTAAACCAAATCAACTTTTAATTCAAACTTTTTATTAGAATTCTTTATAATGGGGTAACTTATAAACGCGTGATTAAAACCAAGTTTAACCACAATTTAATTACAATTACTCGCGAGATAAACACAATTTAAACCAAATCAACTTTTAATTCAAACTTTTTATTAGAATTCTCGCCACAAATACAAATACACTTTAATTATGACAACAAAATATTTGTAATAATTATAAATCAAATTAAAACTCAGGGAAACACTAAACGCGAGTAGAACTCAGAGGTCTTATTAACTTGTTTCTACCCGAGCCTCAGCTCTTGTCTCTCCCCGAGTCCTCTCAATTCAAGACTAACTTTTAATTCCTATCCTAACCTTTAAATACTGATTTACTTCCGTATTTTACTCGCATGTATTGTTTCCTCATTTTAAATATTAAACCTTAAAATAAACATAAAATACAGATATTCTAGGATTTCTGGGTTATAAAGAACTCGCATTCAGGGATTAACACAAATCGATAGCCTTTTCATAGCATTGCTCGTAGAATAGGCTTTAAAAGGGGTTTAGAGGGCGAGCATTGGGTTGAATGACATTAATGTCGATTCCCGCTAAATTGTGACCACCTTTACACGACCACCACCAATCCTCAGCCTCCTGGCTGACTTATTGCTCGGGTTGTGTCAATCGATCGGCCAATGTTGCCATCAATTGGTTACACGCATACAGTTGTGTTGCGGCGAGCATTGTCTCACTCAATGGCCACCTTCTTCGCGAGTATTCATAAAACTTATGACAATATAAGTAAAACAATTTAAAGCATTTTCGAGATAATCGGGAATATGTAACCGAAAAGTGTTCATAACTCGCAAATTCATTACAAATAAATTTTCATAATTTTCTGTCGCCTTATTCTAAGTGCTAACAGCAAGAAGTACACACATTGAACATTAATTCAGACATTTTTCGTGATTTTAATCCTCAATTTAATCTCTTAATCCCCGCCACTTGTCTTAAGCGCGTGTTAAGCAGATTCTCATTAATCAAAATCACATTTGAGCTTTTGGCCACTTTTACCAAACTCTCAACTATTTCTAATTCACGCCTAAATTCTAACAAAATTTATGCAATTCTTAATATATTTCAATTCATTTCTACTTTAATTCACGCTTTACTTCTCTTCCATCACTTTCTCTATTCTTTACTATACTTTTAAACCTAATTAACATAATTGTCAACATTTTTCTCAAATTCTCGCTATTCTTACAAACAATAATACTTTAAAACAAATTTAGTCAAAACAATTGCGAGTCAAACAAAATCGAATCTAAATTGAATATAAGATTCACTTATAAACAGCGAGTAATAAACATAACATTAAAAAAAGCAAAATAAATCAAATTATAAACTAAATATAAACTAAATGATAAAATAAATGATAAAATAGTGTATTTGTTTTGCGGGTCTTATCTCTAATCCAAATTATCAAACGATTGGTCGATCCATCGAATCGGGCGCGCAATGAGATATCTCCCGTCTTTCTCTTCACGACTTCCTATCACTCGTATTATACTCTTATTGTCAATCATCTCTTCATTCACACGCATTAGTCTCGCATTCAATTCCGGTTCAGTGTTGTCGACCACCACCTGTTCGGCGACCGCCACCTGATCCTTGACCAGCGATAGACGCGGGCTATTGTATCGATGGTACTCTTCTTTGTTTGCCATCCTTTTCATCGCATCTCTCGATTCAATCTTCTTAGGGATCCGTGCATTGAGTGCAGAGTTGGGTCCGCGCTCTTCAGTCTTCTGTTGTCTTCGGGCAACTGTTTGTGACAAACCTTTGCCAACACTTCGTTTGCAATTCTCGCTCATTGTTCAACAAAAGGGGGAAACTTTTAGGGCAACCGCGCGGACAGTCACTGATGACTTCACGACGTGATACCACCGCACCTCCGACCAAAAATGTGACGCTTATAATGGGGTAACTTATAAACGCGTGATTAAAACCAAGTTTAACCACAATTTAATTACAATTACTCGCGAGATAAACACAATTTAAACCAAATCAACTTTTAATTCAAACTTTTTATTAGAATTC